GCCCACCAAACACTAAGAAATATTCTCATATATTTCTCTCCTCAAATAGTGGAAACTTTTAGATATTCTAAATCCATTTCATCCCTTTGCTCTTTGTATTTGCACTATGCCTCTGTTTTCAGAGGATATTTTTAATATGTATGCACTTTCTCAGAAATAGCCAAAGAAAACCTTATATCATACATTTAAAAAAGACTTCTCTGGACAAAATTCACATTTTGTTGAAAAAAATACATACCTTTTTGGAATGATAGGGTACCATTTGTTTTGCTTCATCTAAACACAAATCTGCAAAGTCACGATTTTTGTGGAAAGGCTGATGTGAGTGCTCATGGCTACACTCAGACTTCCTCAGTAATTTCACGTAGCTTGCTAACTACTAACGTGACTAGAAATTTCAACTGTCCTAACGATAGCAGACCGTTCTCAATGGTGGTTCTACTTTTCCTAACTTAATAAGGGAAACTACATACAAGTTTTTTCCTCCCTGCTTTTCCCTAGAAAACTATCTTCACTAGAAAGAACACCTTTCTTGGCTTCACCAGGCTTTAGCCTAAACTGAAGCTGCTGAATGCTCTGAGTACATTCCACATAATAAGGTTTTCAGTCCCTTGAACATTTCCATTTCACTTTGAATTAATCTTTTTCAGATAAGCTCCAGGTAACTAAAACAGAGTGAACTTGTTGCATAAAACTTCTAGGTCAGTTCCTTGTGCCACCAGCCAAGACAGTCTTATAATAACTAATACACAGAGTAGAAAATTTTCATATCTTTAGAAGATCCCACATATACACTGTGGAAAATATTCCTACCAATTAAAAATTGCTCCATTCAGGAGGGACGGAAAAAGAGGTGGAGGATTCAAATTTTTAAAAGATATTTAATTAATTTCTTTCCTTCAACCAGCATCCATTGCCTAGACAATAGTCCATATGGAACTGTGTAATTTATTTCAAGGATGACACACTGCGCAGTCATATATATATCTGGAGATAAATGTAAAATCAAAACTAAAAGTACTCAATGAACCTAAATATGAACAGAAGTGCGAACTTCCCCACAGATAGAAGCAAGATTCCATTGTGAAAAAAAAGGAAAGAATGGGCACTGTAGAGAATAAGTCGAATAATTAACATTGTCTTACCTTATAAAGAGAAGATACAAGCTACACAGTTTCTGAAATACATATTTTTAACTGCCCCCTCGTCAGTGAAGGATATGGCAATTGTACTTCTTGTGTTGTTTGTTTTTCTATCTTTGCAATCACCAGGAATAAGTCCTTCACACTTCACACTCAGAACTATTTTTCTCTGATTTCAGTATATAGTCTTCAAGTAACACACAATAATGTCAGAGCACACGAAAGACCAGCTGCTCCTACCACTTTTTGAACGTTTCTAGCACAGAACCCCATGCAAGGAGTCTGAGCAATTTCCTCATTTTATAACGATTATGCCCTTTAGTTTATCAAGGGTAATTAATCCTGTCTTGATGAGCAAAATAACCATATTTTACGGTCTCAACCTGGATAAGAATCCCTGTCAAATCACTAGCTAGCTTGACTGAAAATTACCTGCCCCTGCTTTAACCTGGGCCTCTACTAGACCTCAAGAAAGATCCCAGAGTAAAGCATGTAGCATTTCTCAAGTCTTCAAACTCTAAGCATGTTAAAATTACTGACAAAGGCTTATAATTTTCAAAAAAAATCTACCACATAAAAAAGATAAACAAAGCTAAACAAAGGATTATTAATCTTCCTGAAAATAACAATGCTTGACAAGAAAAATAAGCTTGAAACAATGCTCAAGCTAATGTTACATTCTAGCTGGGTAATTATTCTTCATTTAAGATGTTCTCTCACTTTCCCTTAAGTTTGCTTTAATAACTTTCTAGCTGATAACATTTAGACCAAGAAAAGCAAAATAATTTGTATTTTTGTGGTGAGATGCAAGCTACTGAACATGATTCATTATAGCAGAAATTATCTTAAGAGATGCTTCACATCAGCCCTGTGCTATCCTAGTGCTGAAAGCAACTCAACAAATAATTATGCAAAAGCATATTACAGCACTACTTTACTGACTAGCACAATACAGTTAGAATGCACAGTATCTTTCATTCTGGTACCCAGAAACTTGCCATCAGTCAGCACCCTACCAGTATTTCTACCAGACTTTCGACATAAACACTGTTTTTAATTACAGGTCTATTTATTTCTCACATATGTAGCCCAAACTTCAGAAAAAAATAAACTTTTTCTTAAGTAATAGATCATAAAATAAAATGAACACTTCTATTTAATATCAGAAGACTCTGAAATTTAGAACTAATATGCAGAACTGGTTTTGTTTTCAACCTCTTACCTAATATATTGTCTTTCACAAGACATACTGATCTAGGATAAGTCAATGAAAGTTGCAACAAGAGAAATTCTGGCAAGATACAGTGGGAGAGGAGTACACAGTGGAGTGGTCAAAGATAGGACACAAAGCAAGGCTGCAAGATCTTTTTTCTTGGAGATATTCAAAACCAAGATAGATAGGGCCCTAAGGGACATGATCTCACTTTGAAATTGTAGCCCTGCTTTCAGCAGGAATTTACCCTATAACTTTATGACAATGTGGAGGACTTCCATGGGCCCACTGGAACTGTACACATGCTAGCTGACTTATTATGCATTTGCAATGTTTTCATCTTACATAAAGAAAAAAAAAACAAACAGTATAACTGGATGCAAATATAAGATCACTGTATCCAAGGTATGATGGATTGCATGGATTTAAAAAGACACCCATCGCTTTGAGAGTAATATTTCACAGATATCACACTATTAGCTGAAACCAATGCAGGAGTATATTACTTTTCTCATCACTTCTGGAAATATATTTTACTCTGGAAGCAAAAAGTGGCTGAGAACCCATCCTGGAAACATACATGACCTTCACACAGAACAGCCCTGGAATTATTTCAGGTACCTAAAGAAGCAAGTGGTTTAAACTAAGAGATCCAAAAAACACAGGCAAGGGAAGAGGCCATCTGCAGTACTGTGTGCAGGCCTGGGGCCCCCAGAACAAGAAAGATGCAGAGTTCTTGGAAAAGGTTCAGAGGAGGGCCACTAAAATGATTAGAAGGCTGGAGCACCTCTCCTATGAGGAAAGGTTGAGGGAACTGGCTTGATTAGCTTGGAGAAGGCTTTGGGGAGACCTCATTGCGGTCTTTCAATACTTGGAGTGTATAAACAGGAGGGGGAACAATTGTTTAAATTGGTTGGTAGCAATAGAACAAAAGGAAATGGTTTTAAACTAAGACAGGGGAGGTTTAGGTTAGATTCTAGGAGGAAGTTTTTCCACCCAGAGGGTGGTGACACACTGGAACAGGTTGCCCAGAGAGGTTGTGGATGCCCCATCCCTGGAAGTATTCAAGGCCAGGCTGGATGTTGCTCTGGGCAGCCTGGTCTAGTGACTGGCAATCCTGCCCACAACAGAGGGGTTGAAACTAGATGATCATTCTGGTCCTTTTCAACCCAGGCCATTCTATGATTCTATGACTATGGAAAACCTCTCCTATGATTCTATGAATCATCGGCTCCCATGATAACCAAATTTGATCAACAAACAAAATGAAAACAAAAAAGAATCATTCTAGGGCTGATTCAAAAATGAACAACAACAACAAAAAAGTATTCATACATCTTTGTTAAAGTTCTGAACTCACTTCCAATGACAAATGCCTGATTTCTTTCAAGTGAATATGTTATTCATGGCACTGGTGAGTGAATAACTCAGAGAAAGCTGCTCCTGAACCAGTACTAATTTAAGATCATAATCATTAAAGAGTTTCTTAAAGAGTAAGCGCAACTAAAATGTTGCATCAGCAATGTGAGTGAAAAAAAATAAACCTGAATATTCTTTTGTAAGCAAACCCAAAACTAAGAGAAAACTCAAATCAAAGTATATAGTTTCAGACTGTTTGAAACCTTTAATTCCTCAATCTTTGAAACATAAGTATAAGCAACCATTAAAACAAACTAAATTCAAGATTCCCATAACCTAATTTAAAATTTTAAACAAGCCTCCAAAACAGAGGGATGTCTTCTATGAGACATTCTGCTGACTTTAAGAAAAAACCTGTATAAATTAGCACACATGAGCAGCAGCTTCTCATGAATGTTAATACAAATAATCTAAATCCAATAATGCAAAGAGAGGAAAAACAGATGAGAAAGCAACACAACTACTGCTTATCTGGAAGGAAACAAAGTTAGGAGAAATAGGAATTCTATTTTGTCCTGATGACACAGAAGAAATAACACTTTCCAAGTTCCATCACTGACGTTTCATTGACTGTCTATAATGTTTAGGTGCTGAAATTCTTCTATTGCTTTTTTTAAAATAAAGATGAGGCTATTAAAAAAAAAAAAAAAAAGTTACTAAAAGTAGCTACATTTCCATCTAAAAGAATCATATGCTTTGCATTTAACTGTAGGTGTCTCAAAAGCCTTCAAGCCCTATCCCTTCCCCCACTACCTCAATTCCAATGTCTGAGCCTAACATTCTTCATAGCAGTCTTTATTATTTTGGAAGTTCATTGAAGCAAGAGACAGCTCTAATATTTATTTGGATGGTGCCTGGTGCACATTTTCAGACTGAGAAATATGCTGCAATTACTGCATTACCAAGCTAGGAAATAAATATCACCAGTTACCAAAAAATAATTCAAATCAAATCCATCAATTGTTAATACCTATCATCAAATGCTTTCTGTTGATGACTCTTTTACATAAAAATATGAAGTACAAAATCTTTAAATCACTACAAGGTCCTCATTCCTAAGGAAGGATATATTAGAACATCAGTATCTGTTCTTAGAAATTCTTAAGTTTCCAAATCCAGGTAATTAGCAGGCATGATTACTAACAAAACAACTGGCAGTGAACTCTACATCACACTGGAAAGGTACAAGACTTTACATCAATGATAACGTATTGATATTTAAATACCTCTTTATTGTCCCTGGTAGATCCAAACTGAATGGAATTTGATAGGAGGATGCTAAAGTGTCATCCACAGCCTTGCTTATTTCCTGTAGCTCTCTCAAAGAGACACAGCCAAGTAAAGTAGTCAGTTCACAGTCCTGTGGCTGAATAAGTCTATCTTGTTCTTCAATTTCTCTCTGTAGCTGTTGATCTTTTTCTTCTAACACAGACAGTCTCACTCGGAGGTCTTCAATTTCTTTCTGCATGGAACAGAAAGCTCAGTTTACTATGAACAAAATTAAAGAAATGGCCATGCTCCTAGGAAAATGTCTTAGAAATAGCATAAATTAAGGTTGTTCCATTTAATGCAACATTAGATGAGTAGACAGCCTTCTGTTGACATGCAAAATTTCTTAAATCCATTGTGCTTAGAAGCTCTAGCAATTGTACTGTCTCAAACTCCCCCCATGCTTCTCAACACCCTATTTCAGATTCCTATGACGGAATCATCTGTGACAGGCACATTTTGCCTATCACCAGTACTTCCTAAGTTAAAAAAACTTTTGTTAAAAACTTAAAAAAAAAAAAATCTCAGTCCAACCACAGTCATAGAATCCTACGTCAGACTGGCAAGTGATCAACAACCTGTCCATCCTACTGCAGCATATCCCTGCAGTGGTTCCTCTAGACTTCTCATTCAGTATTAAACATTTTATGGTAGTGGTGTTTCTTGCAAAAGAATATTCCATTTTTTCCTTGGAAATCCAAGAGACAGCTTGCACCAAGTTCCCTTCCCAAGGAGCTCCTTCCCAAGGAGCACTTCATAAAGGAATCTGAGTTGTCTAGTTACTAAAATTACTTAATATATGGCCCTTGGCTCACTTATCCTAGGATTTGAAAAGAGAGTTAAGGAAAAAAAAATAATAATAAAATAAAAAAAAAATTAAAAAAAAATCAAAGGAGAGCTATTTGCTAAGTTGTTGAATGTCATACTGGAGCATCTGCTTTTATTTCTACATTTCTTATGTTCTCTGTGAAACTGCAAGCCACTTAATCTATTATCTGCATGCACAGTCACAGACTGAATGTTCACCATCTTCCACACAATCAAAAGGAAGAGTCTTTGAAGTGCCACCCAGAGACTCTCAACAGAAATCAAAGCTCAAATACCCCATTACCATATTCAGACCAATCAAAGAGAAAAGACCTTTTTCAGGGACCTTTTCCAGGTAAGTAAGTAGGCATTACAAAATTCACTTTGAAAAGTACCATGTAGCTTTTTATTATAATTCACTACTTAATTCTCTATCTGTAAAATGGCAATAGAAACTTCTCTTCACTCCAGGGCAATTGCAGAGACAAAATTAAGTCGGTTTGAATCACTCAGATACCATGTTGATTAATGTTTTAAGGAGAGCCCATTCACAAAGTAATGAATCTGCATCCAAAGAGGGTTTCAGTGGTGCAGAGTAAAAAGCTTTGGAAGCCAAATATCGAGTAATGAAGATAAAATGTTATTCTTTGTATCTATCTCAAGAAGCATTTTCCATTTTCAACAATATATAAAGCAGACATTCAGGAAAAAAATAGCATGCTTATACAACTGACTTTCAGGTTCTTTTAACATTTTCAGTGTATTTTAAGGGAAGTTCAGTTCACTAATATTCACTTTATAAACAAATGTATTCAGGTTTGTTGCTCTAGCAAGCTCTCTGACACCATGAGTATTACTTAAAACAAGAAGAAATAGACGCACATTAAAAGACTGAACTGGCTCAAAGAATTCTACTTATATTAATGCTCTGCACTACATTTACCAATTGTTTTCTTCCTTTTTATTCTTTTAGATTTAGCTACAAGAAAACAGAGTGGCCCGTATTTCAACCCACAGGCATTTGTCAAGAACAAAAAGGTCAGCAGGCCAAAAGCATCAGTTTTGTTTCTCTGAGTCTCAAATCAGGCTTTTAGTGTGCACAAAGGACAATTCTGTCTCTGTATTACTGGATTGGGAATACTGCCAAAATCTTAATAGCTCTACTTAATACAAAGACCTTCATATTCTTTGAAAATGTAGTAATTGCAATCGCTGCAATATGCGGCCTAAAGGGGAACAGAACAGGAGATGAACAGAATTTGGTTTTAAAAATACACTTTTAATACTGAAACATTTTTACAACTCAGATACCAGAATCAGCATTCACAAAGAAAAAACTATTCTGCTCAGGAACAGTATACATTTATTCTTGGGAGAATGGAAATTTTAGCCTGCAAGCTGGAATTTTCTCTCTTTCTTTTCCAGAAATGTCAAGGAGCCTTTAATGTGCTCTGGGGCAGCCTCCAGGGATGGATAAAAAGGACTTAAAGTCTCAGCATGGAGCAACAGATGATATTTAGCTCACTAAACATAACCCAGAGGTTTACTTTTTGGATTTGAGTTTAAACTGAGATATCTAACATGACAGCTAATCACTACTGATTGTGAGGCTCCTGATTTCATGTACAAGCTCATGTTGTCCACAAAGTATAGGTCACGGTAGAAATATTACAATGTAAATTTTAGATACTGTCACATGCATTTTAGAAGCCCAGAAGGTGTATGCAGAAATGGAAGAAGAGACAGCAAAAGGAAAGGGAAAGTAGGGCGGAGGAAAATTAATAAATAGATCAGATTACATGTGATTTTAGGCTAGATCAATTTTTAAGAAATGCCAGGAGTCACCAACCATTACTGGTCAGATTTCTTCAGCACTCAGAATTCATGATCATTTTGACAAGCCCTCATAGCATGCCTGTAAAGGGCATGCTAATTTGTCCCTCGCATCATTATATAGAAATACACCCAAAACAACCACAGAAACATTACCTGGCATCAAGTCTTAAGGACATCATTTTTCAGTTTATTATGTTGACATGGCTGGATGGATAATGAGGAACAAAAACTAGTTTTCTGGACACCGCTAAATCTAAACTACACCCACTCTTGATGATTGAGGAAATAAATCTAAACAATGATGACTTGATCAAAAGAGTTTGCAATGGTCATCTAAGATGTTTTTCCATTTCTTCTTTATATGTATACACATGTACAGATATATGTATACGTACATGTACATGTAAACATGTACACATATATGCATACTCACGTATTCATGTGTATACACAGTTCATTGTGCTATTGGATTCAAAAAGGAGGAAAACAAAATTAATGAGATTTCAGGGAAAGAAAGAGCATAGAAATAAAGCTAAGGTGTCCAACTGCTGAGTGTGATCACTGAAGTTTAAAAGGAGATGGAGCAAAGACTTGTAATAGATAGTAAACAGATTTTTGAAGGACAAAGAAAAAAAACCTGAAATATACATAAAAGCTTGTAGATTTACAATTGGACAGAACCTGCCTTAAAACATTCAACCAATTACCAACCATTACCACAACACTGACATCATGTGACAGTGTAAAGCTATCACTGGCAAATGACAAGTGCTCCATATAGACTGCTGCATTGTACTGAAACATTTTGATCACCTTTCAGGATCAAAAGCTGGCAAATCACATATTGATAATCAAATCTAACCAGAAATTGGTCACAGATTGCTTCCTCCAAAATTCTTCCCATCTTCAAATAAAAACTTCTGAAGATTAGTGAAATTTAAAAATGGCAAATTAGAACATAAGGAGCACACTTAGAAGGCTAACAGGAAAAATTAAAGCATGCACACAAGCCACTGAGCCTTCCAGCTCTGCCTTTCTTTAATGAGATTAACACAACTCCTATGGCTGCCATCTCCAATCATCACTTAGATTATCAAATGGACTACAGCCAAGGCGTTAATTGCTGCACTGAACAAAATACTACAGTAAGTTTATTTAATTCTATGTGGCAGCTTACAAGCTTTTCCCCCACACAGCACTGGTTATTATAGATAACTTGGCAGTCCTTTTACCTGTAAACATTTCTTTTCTTGCAAAAGGTCATTTCGTTTCATGGCCAAAACCTGTATCCTCTCCTGGTAAGTGGATCTCAACAGTTTATGTCTGTTTTCGTGCCAAAGTTGGGTTTCTTCATTTCCGTGCCTTTTCAGAGAGGAAAGACAAAAGCTAAAAGTCAGTTTTCTCACTGGGTATTGACTTCACAAAGATTAAAGAGACAAGAATACTACGTGTTACCTTCAGAGCTGTAACACTCCATCACCAGAACAATTACATCTTAAACATCTACACAGTTAGAGAACAAGACATTCTCCTTGGCATATCTTCCTTATTATATCAAACATTTACACTGTTTTTACAACACGCTGAAGAAAGTAAAAGGAAAACTTATGTAGCTCGAGGCTTCCCCCAGCTACTTCACTTTTCAGAAATTTATCCTTCACCGCCTTCAAAGAGACAAAACTAAGGCATGTAATTTCTATCAATACAGAGAGAAATCTCTTTTAAACAGAAGTTTAAAAACTTGCCAAAGCCATTTTTGCAGCTTCTGTCAGCTTTTGGAACCCACACTAGAGATCATCTGGAGCGTTTGCTCCACAATGCCAGATTTTATTTTTCCTCTTGCACAGCGAGTTCTTTCAAAATCGCAGTCAGTGGGATTCCTCACAGTGGTTGGTACAACCCTCAGCTGTAAATCTTTGCATGATTGGACCCCAATGTAATCAGCATGTTACATTAAGTGTCAAGTTTATAATAATCCTCTCAAAATGCACCTGCAAACAAGGCAAACCTATTCTGTCACACGTTTCTGCATAAAGGCATGCGCACTTGTAAGACCAATTGCATGTCCATGTCCATCTCTAGAGACAAGCATATGCATTTCCACATAAAAGATAATGATACATTTCAACATCTTGTTTAAAAATTTTAAAAAAAAAAAAAAAAAAAAAAAACAACTGTCTCATCTCAGATGGACGGTTTTAAAGCATGATTTCACACTGTTATCTTGCAAAAGATACATTCGTGCCACACACAAAACATGCATCAGAAGTGGTGCAAGCAGGACTAATCACACAATTATGATCTACATGCACAGTTGTTTAACAATATGGAGCAAAAGCGATTCATGTCTCTCCTGCAGGATCATTAGAACACACACATGCTTTACACACTTCCCTACGGAAGCAAAAGGAGGTGTTCCAGTGTAAATGACATTAATACTTAAAATTGACATGAGGATTGTGTACCTGCATTTCTACAATGACAAAGTAAATCAAACACTTGTGTGTGAGGTTCTAGGCCATCTTTGCATATATGTGCCTAGCATTACAGATCATTGTGGTTTTGAACAACAACACTTCTCAGCAACTCTGAAGAGTATTAAGAAAGAAAGAAAGAAAGAAAGAAAGAAAGAAAGAAAGAAAGAAAG